TTCAAATAAAATATTTTAAGAATAATTTAGCTACGCTTAGTTTCATTTGGGAAACAAAATCCTTCTGTAAAACAAAGAATGGAACTTGTCACTATTGTGTTTTCTTCGAAGTATCTTCTGAGAATGATGAAAGAAGAAAAGCAAAGTATCCCGACCCCGTGCATCATGTTTAAATTTATTATTTTGGTGGTTTTTTGGCGTCTTTCAGACAATCCGCCAAGTTTTATCTCTGTGAAGAAAGGGGTGTGATAATAAATTTCCAAGATACCCCCAGCGGCAGGCGTCTTGCCAGTTAGCGACTGTAATTCACATTGTTATGTATTACACACGTTTTGTGACATCACTGGCTTTGTAATTGTTTCGTTTGGAACAGTTTTATTTTCTAAGTAAAAAATTTCATTATGCCTATTTTCTATTCTCTGCACAAATATCTGTAAATCTTTCATGTCTTATTACATACTATTGTAAACTCTAATTTGTTTTTTATTCGCGTCATAACTAGATTTTTTTAAAATTTAGAATTAACAACACAAATTTAGAATTAACAAGAATTAACAACACAATTGAAAATAACAATTTAAAGGTAAACTTTTTTTTAAAAAAATGCCTACCTAGATGTCTTTATTACATACTATTGTAAATTCTAGTTTCTTTTTTTATTTACGTAGTAACTAGATTTTTTGATTTAGTTCGAGATATTAGCTATTGGAAGTTTTTTTAAAAAAATGCCTACCTAGATGCCTTTATTACATACTATTGTAAATTCTAGTTTCTTCTTTTATTTACGTAGTAACTAGATTTTTTTATTTAGTTCGAGATATTAACTATTGGTAGTTGTAGCAAGAATTAACAACACAATTGACAATAACAATTAAAAGATAAACTTTTTAAAAAAAAATGTCTACCTAGATGCCTTTATTACATACTATTGTAAATTCTAGTTTGTTTTTTTATATACGTAATAACTATATTTCTTGATTTAGTTCGAGATATTAAGTATTAGAAGTTGTAGCAAGAATTAACAACACAATTGAAAATAACAATTTAAAAGATAAACTTTTTTTAAAAAAAATGCCTACCTAGATACTATATTTTTTTTTTGTATAAAAGGTTAAAATTTTACATACAAACAACAATTTATAATCCTCATCTGTTTGAAATGAAGTTGACCAGGCCATTGAAGGTGAAATATAATATAAATCACTTCAAAAAAGACCCCCACAAGAAGGGTTTTCAAGGGGTCATTACATCTGAAGTGAGGGAGGATCCTGTAAAATGAGATGAGAATTTTGAAAAGTTTTACCACAAAAAGATCTCCTTGTAACTGGAGATCATATCCTGTTACTGACAAGAGGGTCCTTTAAGCATGTAGGGGTCAAAAATAATATATATGACCCATAGAGATAACACCTCGAAAAAATTTAAGGGGAAGGTTTTTTTTGCAGTCATTTCAAGGTCGTAAACAAAATCGTAAATTCGCCGCGATTAGTTTCTTAAAAAAAAAAAAAATTTGAAGAAAAAACCCTACTAATTGGTGCATAAGTAAGTATGATTTATTGGTGCAGAAATATAAACTCGTGAAAATTCGATCAATATGTATTATAATATAACTGCATGTTATAAATACTATAAACATATTAATATATTGTTTTAGAAATATGTTGTAAAAGAAATAACTGGAAAAAAAAAAGAGTTGCAGGAAGTGCTGAGATAAAAGTTATTTCACTATAACTGAAACTAATGTTTAAAAAAAAAGAAGCGTTAATTACGACACTGCTTTCCATCAGAGATCGCAATTTGTTTCGTATCAATGATTCTTATGCCTGCTGATTCATGATAGTTCATTTAATCCAACTGTATTAAGACACGTAATATATTATTCCATGTCAACACTCTTTTATACAACATTCCTATATTATTCTTTATCTCAACCATCTTCGTATTTTTTCTAATGTATTATTCTTCGAAAATTAAGTACATTCTAACCAAATACTACAAATTTTAATTTGTAAGACATTATTATGCTACTTTACACTTACTAATTAACGATAAGCCTCTTTAACAAGTATTTGCATCCCAGTTTAGTAAATACTTGTTTACGAAAACAAGGAATCTGTTATTTAGATAAAGGAAGATGTTATTTAAATAAAATTAATGGCGAGCTATAACCATTTCTGGTTTTGCGCCAAAAGCTACAAATTAGCAAACTATTTAAAGTGCTGTACAATGCAAAAATTCCCCAGAAAGAAGGTTCTCAGAACTACAGTTAGGGATCTAGTTGGCTTTTTAGCTCTCAACTTTTTTCCACAGATGAAATGGGATTCAATAAATAATCACTGAGTGCTGGTGCGTTGAGAGTAGCTCATTTCTGAATTTAGAGGAGAACAAAATCGGAGTTACCAATAATGGTAAGACCAGGGGATATTAACCACTTGATCCGAAAGAATAATTTCAAATGAATGGGTAGTTAATGGATTGTAACACTTGATTAATAGGTTATTTGAAAGTTGTTTGAGATAGTTGGGGCCGGGTACTGATAAATAATTCATAGCTACTATTTTAAAGCAGATGATTCAATTTAGTGGATGTTGAGACTATTTGACAGAAACAACTATTTCAGATTAGTGTTAAGTGTAGAAAACTGCACTGTTTTGTTATTGATTATTGTTATTGATTACGAGAGATGGTTTGAATCGAAAGTAAATATACGATTTTTCCTTTTCATGATAATTGATTTTGTCCAAATCCATTACGAGTGTTGCGTAATGCAGAATTATAAATGGAAATTCCTGAGTTATGAAGCAACCAAAAGAAGATTTTCAGAACTACAGTTTAGGTTCGACATCTAGACTGAAGAGGTGGGCTTCTTAACTTCCTGTAAAATATCTGCTCTTAACTTCCCGTAAACAGCAACGATTACGATAACGACTGTAACGATATCTGTTATTTTAATCCATGTGATTCGATCTGATGAATGTTGACCATTTGACATAAACAACTAGTTCAGATTAGTGTTAAGAGTAATAAAATGTACAGTAACGATTGATAAAGAGAGATGATTAGAATCGAAATTAAATGTACAAATCAGGTAATCTATGGTACAAATCTACGGATCTAAAGTAAGATTGCAGATCTATTTAGACACTGATTAGAATTAAGAGATTGTAAATTTGTTTATTCTAATATTTGTTGATTCATGATCCAATTCCATTATGAATGTTGCACAACGCAGAAGTTTAAGTTAGGAAGCAATCGAGAGAAGATTCTCAGAACTGCAGTTTCGGTTCGACATCTGGACTGAAGAGTTGGGCTTTTAAAACTTCCAACCCTCTTCTAAGGATGAGTTGAAGTGGGATTCAATAAATAACCCAGGAGTGCTGGAGCGTTGAGAGTAGCTCATTTTTGGATTGATAGGAAGACAAATCGGAGTGACTAATGATCGTCAGAAGAGTGCAGACGCTGTGTCGCAGAAATTTTCCTGACAGACTTCTGGATGGGGGTAAGGATACCCAGAGATGCTCGGACACGGCGGATTAGGGTAACCATTTCGCGTGGCATTTCTTGGTGTGAGAGAAATTCTGGAATGTTCATCAACCGCGAACTCCTCGCAGTCAGCGTGAACTCGTTTTCATCAGAGCCTTTGTTTTCTCCCCACTAGTAATGGGATGTAATCAACTAAAGAAGCATGCTGAGGAAAGAACATATAATATTGGCTATGTAGGCTTAAAAAATCACTGGTTTATGCCTTGTCATAAATTTTAAATATGTGTGATGAGTTTATGTAATGAATTAACAACTAGACTTCAAAAACAATTTGATTTTTAAGTTATTTTTAGTCACTGTCTAATGTATCCAAAGGAAAAGAGAGGTAATCCCTTTCTTGTATGTCAAATGTGCTGCATGTCTTTCGAATTTATTTTTCTGCGTTGTTTCCATATTAATTTAAAATCGCATTAAGCAGCTTCGTATAGTCGTATTATGCAACTTCGTTCGTTGTATTAGTCAATTAAACTTTAGAAACAATTAGATTTTTAAGTTATTTTTTGACACTGTTGTATGTAATGGTGAAGAAAATAACTTTAAAAGGACAAAAATAATATATTAAAACATAAACTTAGCTACAACAAGAAAAATTTTTTACAAAAAAACGTAGAAAGTTAATAGCCGTGATAGTTTAATCACCATTTAAACAATCAAAATTAAAATTCACGCTCTGCAAAAATTGTTTAATCCTTAATGAATTCTTAATCCGAAATAAAATTTAAATACTAACAACTTTAATTTCGTTTTCTTTTAAAACAAAACAAAGTCTAATATATTAAAAGGTAATAAGCTATAAAATATTTTTTCAGTTTTACATTATTGCTCTTTTCCCCAGATATATATTTGGAATGAGTTCATTCAGTGCCTAACGAAACCATGAAATAAAATTCAAATTATGTCAAATTTATTTTTTGCGAAAATAAAATCCAAATCAGTGTTACAATAAAAATATAAAACTGAAATATAATTAAAATCTACTCTTTTTAGAATAAATTAATTATACAAATTTATTGAAGATGCTATAGAGAATTCAAATAATAGTTTCAAATTCATTTCCCACGAAAATAAAATGCAATTCAGTAGGGTTATAATAAAAATATTTTTAGAAATATAATTAAAATCTACTCTTATAAGAAGAAATTCATAATTCAGTTTATTAAAGAAATTACTTTAAATAGAGAAAAGTACCGTTTTAAATATTTTATAATGAATTTCATTGAAATATTCGCCACTTGACAAAACCTCGAAATAATAACTCCAATTCCATTTTTCCAGGAAAGGAAAATGCAATTTACTGTTGAATTAAAAAGATATAGAAATATGATTCAACTCAAGTTAATTAAACGAAGGTATTTCCATTTTCCTATTTTGGCAAGGGAAAAAAGCAAAACTGTAATATTTTTTATTAATGGGTAAATTAATTTAAAGCTGGTTATAAAAAGAAAAAAAAAACGTACCTGTTTTTGTTGCTGCTCTTGAGCGAGTTGAGATTTCATTTCTTCTAATCTGTTGATGAGGTTTGTAAGGATTTGTTGTTGGTCTACGGAGTCGTTACTCAATTTCTTCCGCAGGGTCACTTTCAAGTCCTCGCTTTCCATGAGGACTCGTTCCAGCCTGTCCTCACTTCTTCTATCCCTAAATAAAGGAAAGATTACCACATATATATATCTATATTATATATTCAATATTTTGCTATATAATACACCATTTACAAATAAAGTTTTATAACTATGTTTAAACAACAGCGTTTAACTTTGATAACAACTTTAACCCTTTTAATAAACATATTTTTCATATTTTTTTCATCATTTTAATAATTTATTGTTATGAAATATAGCATCAAACACCAGTGACTTTTTCTGCTTTAAAGGTAAAATTGATTCACTTCCAAACAGTAATTTTTCAAATTTGCACTTTTCTGCGTTAAAGGTAAAATTGGTTCACTTCCAAACAGTAATTTTTCAAATTTGCACTTTTTGGGCTAAAGGTATTCACTTACAAACAGTAATTTTTCAAATTTGCACTTTTCTGCGTTAAAGGTAAAATTTATGGATAATTCTTTTCAAAATAGTAATTTTTCAAATTTGCACTTTTTGCGTTAAAGGTAAAATTGGTTCACTTCCAAACAGTAATTTTTCAAATTTGCTCTTTTCTGCTTTAAAGGTAAAATTGGTTCACTTCCAAACAGTAATTTTTCAAATTTGCACTTTTCTGCGTTAAAGGTAAAACTGGTTCACTTCTAAACAGTAATTTTTCAAATTTGCACTTTTCTGCGTTAAAGGTAAAATTTATGGATAGTACATTTCAAAATAGTAATTTTTCAAATTTGCACTTTTTGCGTTAAAGGTAAAATTGGTTCACTTCCAAACAGTAATTTTTCAAATTTGCCCTTTAAAAAAACACCAAAATATATTTTTGCTTTTAACTAGAGAGTTAGAAAATGCATAAAAGGGACACCGGCGTTCCATCAGGTTAAGAAGAAATTTGAAGACTCTTCCTTCTTCATTTTTTTCTTTGTTGGAAGTTAAATTTTTGATTTGCATTTTCTTTATTTTTTTTGTACTCAATAAACATTAGATAATAGAATGTCATTCAGCAAGTCTGAAAAGATTGAAAATAATGAGGTCGTTTGAACTGTTTAGGCGAAATAGTTTAAGAAAACTTTTAGAGCTCGTGCAGATTTTTTTTTTTACAAATTTTTAAAGCAATTATAACTGTAAATTTCAATTGCTATAATTAAAACCATAAATTATGCTATTTATAGTTTTGAGTGAGTAATTTGAAACTACACATTTGTCCGTTTTTAGATTTTTGTACATTTAATTTAATTGCAGTTTAAATTAAAAGCCGATTAAAATGACACCATTAAGCAAATTGTTATCAATTATTTTTAAAACTATAAAAACAGACAAATATTTAATATAAAAAGCACCTTACAAAAAAAGGAATAGCTGATTACAAAATGGTATTGGTTTAATTTTATCAGACAAAAAATTAACAGAGAAAATAACGCACGCAAATTTTACAATTGCTAATTTTCTTATATTATACATGTTTTAGCAGATACTGCAAAGTAGAATAAATATCCAACACCAGTTTATTTGTGGACATTAGATAAAAAGGATGAAAAGTATATTTAGAATTTTCTCTGTTCGCCTCCATCCCTTCGAAAGTTAAACTCGGTCGTAGGAAAAATGCCTCAATAGAGAAATTAACAATTATTTCGATCAAAATGAGCAAAATATCAGAATAGTAATTTTCAAAAAATAAATCAAAGTAAGTTGGACAAGAAAATATGTAACTTATGAATTTAAAGAAGAAACGCTTTGAAAAAAAGTACGGTTATCTACTTCGTAAGTATTTGTTTTTGTATACCTGCAATAAAAAATAAAATATGCTATGATATTAATTTTAAATCATTCAATAACGGGTAGTACTTTTGTTTTTACTAGCAGTATATTTCTTCAGTTTTCAATAAATGTAGAACTATGATTAGATAAAAGCTGAATCTAATAGTCAAATATTAAAATTTCTAAAGACTTAAAAGCACGGAACAACGCTCGAGATTAATCTTAGTTTGTAGAAATAAAATTGGAAGTAGCTAATCCATGTAAGCGCACATGGTAATAACAACGAATTTCAAAAGCCCCTCTATTGTAGTTTCGAGGTTGAAGCAACTTTAATGAAAGTTCTAGAACAAATCAAAATCAAAATTGGAATAAAGCAGTTTCTTCCATTCATTAGCACCAAAATCTCCGTTTGAAAGAAAGTGCTTTAAAATCAATTTCACAATTACAATTTTCAATTATTCCCATTTGTTCCAAATTCAATAACTGTTTTAAGTAGATTTTATTCATCATCAGCGATTTTCTACAGCCTTCAAACAACTACTTGCACTGCAAACAATTATGAAGTATGTTGAGAGAAGTGGATTATTCAGGAATTATGATTATTAATATGATTTTTAAGTTTTTATTTGAATATTTCTCAGCTCTTAATGAATGAAGTAAGCTAAATATTTGTGTCAACGTTGAAAATAAATATATTTAACATAATGATGATTTTCCCTGTTAAATGGAATCGTCACTTTGTGAAAATTTTGATTATTTTATATCCGTATGTTTAAAAAAAAAATCATAATTCAATAATAAAATCGAAATGAAACAACTAAATAAGCTAGTAGTAATTTAAACAATAAAAATCAAAAGATGACAACTAAGCAAATCATCTTATCACCATATTTCAAAAGTTTAAACTTAGTTCTATACGTTTTACTATAGTATAATTTTTACTCAGAACTGATTCTGCATGTTTATCAGAACTGATTCACATAAAGCTTGATCTAAATTATCAGAATGAGGTAAAATTTATCGTGTTTCTTGCTCTATGGGAACACCAAAATACATTGTTAATGTTAACAGAAGCGCTTTTGTAATAATTTTGGTAAAATTAACAACAAAATGCAGTTTTATAACATGCGATAAAATTTAGTAGAAAATTTCGAAATTTTATGATCATATATTGGAGCATGATATAAAAACAACTTATTCGGTTAAATTTATTTTATGTAGCAATAAGAACTATAATTTTGAAAACGAGAATTTCTGTTAAACCATTACCATATGTACGGAAAAATTACTAAATGAATGTCTTAAATACTGCATATTTCGGTTTAATTAACCAGAATTATGTTGTTTTTCTTAAAATTAGAAATGGCATTACCATACAATCTACAAAATATTGCTGGAATATGATTTTTTTTTCTTAAAAATTATTAACACTTTATTTAAAAACATAAATTTTAAATCAACAATGAGAAAACAATTTAATAGATTATCCATTTATAAAATCCTTTTATCTAAAAATTCATTATCTTTTAGTAATTATTTTTAAATGTGTTTCAGAAAAAATATCACTCATCAATAACATTATAAGTTTGACAATATTATTATTTTTTTTAAATCTGGAATATTTTTTTTAAGCCTATTAGAACAACAGATTGAAGAGGAAGGCTATGACATGTTTTGTATTATAACTTGAAAAGTTAAATACAAAGTTGCCAAAAAGATTTGCCACACTTTAAACACAACAACACCAACAGAAAAAATTGCGGATTATTATTTTGCTTAACTACAAAAATAATAAAAAACTACATAATAAAAGCATATTTTTTCCTTATCATTGTCACTTTTATTTTGAAATCTTAATGACCTTCGCTTTCATGAAATTGCAAGCAAATTATTTAGTTAGAAGTTTAATAATTTTAGGGCAACTACAAGTTAAATTACTGCAAAAACAGAAATTATAGCAATAATAATTCAGTTTCAAATGTATAAATAGAAAACACTATAACTTTAAAATATTTACTTAAAATATTAATGTATGTCGCTTAAAGAATATACAATACATTAATTAATGATGTGTATTTATGCACTGTACTGTAATATAAACCGGATTTTTTTAAAATTCAATTTACGATTTGGTGACTGGTTATTTTCAGGTCTACATCTTGGCTATAAAAATGCACTCATAAATCTAAAGTTCTTTTCTTGCAAATTCTCTAAATCATGTTTAAATTGTAAAATAAGTTCTATAAATTAAAATCATTGAAAATTTTGTGCAAGTTTATTGCCTATTTTGTATTTTTGAAAAAATATGTTCGTTTCTTTCAGAAATAAAGGAAAAAAAAACGGATGATTATTTTTCGAAGAAATTAAATTAGTGGAAAGAGGCTTTGGAGTAAAGTGAGATCTAGGTCGGGAGGATGGGGAAGAGGAAATGATGCTGAGGAGTGCACCTGTGACAGGAGCTTCAAGTGGATGGGGATGATTCGACGACAATGGGCGGTCACGCGCACAACAATGGAGAAAACAGAACAGATGGGTTACAAGATTTGGCGAAATAATCACCATCAAAATTGTCGCCAACTGAAGAATTATTTTCTTAATACAAATTTTTCGAAGTTTTATAATGTTTTTGGGACGGAGAATCCAAAAAGAGAGTTCAAGCTATCATGTACAGTAATCAGTCATTTAATTTAGAAAACTTAAATAATGTTTTAGCTTTTAATATAAAATGTTTTGCGAATATTAGTTAATTACATAAATTATTTGTATCGACGGTAAAATTTTAAAAAATTGCAAGATTAAAAAAGGAATCATTGTTAGGATCTGTGTTCGTTATTTAAAACTTAGTAAGCGCATTTATTCGTAAATAATGATTAATGTTTTTTTATTTATTTATTTGTTTATATATTTTATTGCTATAAACCATCTAACAAAAATTAAAACAACATCACATGGTTTAGAATATAAAATTGCTTCATAAAGGATATTAAATTAGATAAATTCTTCAATTTGAAATAAAAATTTACTTTCAAAGAAAGAAAAATATTGAGAAGTCACAGAACAAAATAGCTGCTTAAAATTGATAATCAAACTGCAAAAAATAATAGTAGTTCAAAATATGACAGCGTAAGAGATTTATTAAAGACAGAATTTAATTGTAGTGTGATAAAGAAAGTAAATAAATTAAATTTTTTTACACCTAAACAAAACTTTGCAATAAAAAGCTATTTTTCAATTTTTACTATTAGTTCACACTCTCCCTATATATATTTATATATCTTGTTCAAATTTTCAATCTTTAATAAAATACTTTTTATTCATCCACTCAAGTTTAAATAAATTTTTTTAAAACTTGTAGAGGATAAACTTGTAACACTTGATGTCAATACAATTTTTTCAAATATTCATTCAAAATTAAATTTAATTTTTGCCACTTAATATTGTGATTCTGTCATTTGTATATACATATTTATATTAGTAATTGTAATTATTTAATAAAAAGTTACTAAAATAAAAATTTTTTCTTACTTTTAAATATTTAAAAAATATTATTTAAACAATGATCCGAATATTTTATAGTATTATTATATTTAATCTTTTACTTTCGGCGCAATGTAAATTTTAATTTCAATATTTTGTACTTTCGTTATGATAAAATAAGCTATCGTTGCTCAAATGTTTTGATACCTATTATTTAAATAAATAAAAACATGAAATACGCTGCAGTTAGCGTTTAGTGGAAAAAAGAATTATATTTGATGCAAATAAGCAATTTATTTTTATCTGTTTCACAGTGAAAGTACCCATTTTACAGCGAAACATATCTATTTTAAAGTGCAAACTTATTTATTCTATACTGAAAATCATAATTTTTGAACGAAATTAATTTTCTTTTGTTGCATTATATTTTTTTAACGTTAAACAAATTAAAAAGTCAATTATTTAATATTTTTGTATACTGCATCTATTCTAATCAAATCTTTATCATCAAAGTGAGTATGATTGAAGTGAACTGCTTGCGATAGAGGGATTTTTCGGTATGGTGGCATAAAAAACAAGGTGTTTTTTTCTTCAACTGACACCCTATTTTTTATTTCAAAATAATTAAGGAAAGAGCAGTTTCAAACATTCTTATCCCTTCAATTAAAATACACATATAAAAGGTCTTTATTCAACTCTAATAAAGCAGTTCAGTTTCATAATAAACAACCCGACAGCAAAAAATTCCGAATGGGTGTTGATTGTAGCTCAAAAGCCATAAGAAAAATGCAATACTGACACAAAAACATTTCAACAGCCTCTCGCTTTTTATTTCTTTTATTTACATTCATTCATTAAGAAAAATAACAGCTTTTATCTTGATAATGTCTGTATGAGTCTGTCATTCTATTTTGAGGAGCTGTTGCTAACGATGCAATTATAAAATTCTAAAAAGGATCACCACACACACTATATGTTTTTTTCACTGCTTGGCTATCGCGGCTGAGAAATTCGAGCTCGGTCGCAGTTATTAATTATTTCTAAGAAAGCTGAATGGAGATCTGAGGAGGCATCAAAATTTGAGACTCGTACAAATAGGCCTATTCTACTGCAATTGACGGTTATTCTGCGTGCAAAATTTAAGAATGAAATAATAGAAGTTTAGGTTTTTTTTAAATTTTCTTTTTTATCAGGTTTATATTTAGCAACTGAGGGTTACAAAAATACCTAATATATATCAGGCTAAATGCATTTTTTCCTCCAGCAAAATGTTCGTGCGTGTCCGTGCCATTTTTTTTTTTAAATATTGAGATAAGTTATATATTTTTTATTTATTAAAGTTATCAGATTTAAATGCAGTGTTTATTCAACACGGCATCTTCAGAGAAATTGGTGATCTATAATGTCAGTGCCTTAAACCATAATATGACACAAATTTGTTGCGACCATAACATGTTGTTTAAATGAACCGTGTTTACTTTTAAGTTAAATCTAAGGATTTAATCATGCATAAAAAGTAGTTACAACAAATTGAAAAGATATCAAGGTTTTCGCTCTTTGCTTTTTTCAAAAAAGAAAAAAAAAAAAAAAAACTTTTATTAAAATAAGAATNTTTTTGCTTTTTTTAAAAAAAAAAAAAAAAAAAAAAAACTTTTTCTTTTTTTTTTTATTAATTTAAGAAAAATAATACTAAACTTGGGTGTTTTGAATTCACTTAGTTTATAATAGTTTTGCTTATAAAATCTCGGAATTTTAGAAGTTTACAAAAAGGAATAGAATTTTAAATAAAAAAGAATTTAGGTATAGAGAATTTAAGTTATATAATTTAAAAATAATTTTGAAAAATAAACCCAAATTTTATTCGCGATTCTGTATCTAAGCCTAAAAAAATATAATCCTGAAAATAAATATTGAAGAACATCAAAAATATTTAATTTCATTAGAATTTAATTTAGATCAATTTTTTGAAGGTTTATCGAATTTTGATTAATATTACTAAACAAATGTACTTAATTAGCACTAACAAACAATCCTTACTAAGTGCTTTTTTTAAAGTCGCCCTTGTGTTACCTTCCAAAATATTTGATAAAATTTTTTAATTTTTAAAAAATAATTGTGTTTCTGATCTTAATACATATCCACAATAAAATCTTCCCTGATATTTATTGTACTTTTAGACGATTTAATCCTGAAGTCATAATTAAAATCGAAAAGTATAAATTTTTTTTTGAGATTAAAAATTCGCTTTTTAAATTTCACATCAACAGGGGTCAGTTCATTAACGGGACACTGTTTTCAACTTGTACAAACGTTACTCGTTCGTGATAAAATATTGTTTACACATTTATTGTTTTGCATGCATGTAAAAATAAATGGGTTCCCCGTTTTTCCCTCCAGCATGAGTGACTTGTTACGGAAGCTAACATGTCACCATTTTGGAAAAGGAAACAGCAGCTGCTTCTCAACTAAATTTCTATCAACAGTTGAGACCGTTATAAGAAACATTGTAATATGCAGAAAGATGTGAAATTGACTTAGCACAACGAATACAAACATGTCCTTATGAAATCTTTATCATTAAGAAACATATATTTAAATTTAAATATTGGTTTTAGATTGTCTCCTTCACCCTTTAAAATACAAAATTTTAATTTTGAAAAGCCTTAATATTGGCACAATAAATAATTCCCAACTAAGAAAAATGCTTTTGCATTAAATGCATAATAGAATCATACCTTTAATGGTGCAGAAAGTGGGAAACTGATCCACATAAATTCCGTATCAAATTACGGTATAAGGTACTGGCACTTTAGGTGCATCATCAGTAAAATCCATTTTACCGTAAAAAATATTATACCGCTATTTTCCCAGTAATATTTATTTAATTAGAGTGATGCAGTGATTTTACGGTAATTATTACTGTAAAAATTACGGTTTATCAGATTTAATTTTTTCCGTGACATGTTCCGGTAAAAAGTACCGGAGTGCCGGTACTTTTTACCGTCATTTGTTACGGAATAACGGATGCTAACATATACATTTGAAATTCTTTATGTTTAGGATAGAGATATTTATTTTGAAACAGTGGCTTTAGATTTTTCCCAATTTTAAGTATTTGAATGAATCATCATTTATACTGTTTTTAGAGAGTTTTCACATTGTAAGTTATTCAATTGTACTCAATAATAAGTAATTTCAACTACTGGTAAATTTAAAAGAAATGTGATGTAATTAGTTTTTTATGAATGCTCTACATCTTTAATTAAGTACTCATTAAAAGCTACAAAAATAGTACATTAAGTCAATACAGCGTTTTCAACTACAATCATACAATTTTAGTTTTTTTCATTTAATTATTTGTGAAGCTGACCTCTAGTTCCAATAAAAATGGTAATTCTAAAGAATACGTCAAAGATCACGTGCACCGCAATCAGGTTTACAAGCTTTAAGTATAAGGGTTTATCAGGGCATTCAATCACCGCAGAAGATTTGAGATAAATAATTGCACTAGAGAAGGCTGGTTAATACCTTCTTCTAATGATTTTGGGTCTTTTCAATCGAAGGTAAGAGTTCCTAAATCCGGATTAGGTTAATCTCTAGGTCGGCATTAAGCTTAGAGGTAAGTACACTCATTTAGCTTTCCAAAAGAACAGAAACAAGGGAAAGTAAATACCCAAAATAAGGAGACCTTGTTAACTTAATTTATACACGTTTTTTTAGTTGTTTAATAAATTTCGGGATAGTTAATTGCATGTAAGATGCAGAAAGTTAACTTAATGGTGATTCAAAATCTACAGTTATTTACTTTTACAATTAATTTTTCTTAATGAAGAAACCCGGTTACTTTTTTGTTTTTTCTTCCTTCTAAGAATTAAGTAGAATGATTTTTTAATGAGAATTTATCATAATCAACACTTTTGAAAAGAAACTATAAACTCAGGATTACCAATGATCATTTGATCTAAATGGTGGGAGTGTAGTACACGCATGCACCACAATATTGTTCTCGGATCATCATTGAGGATGAATCCCAGGCCGTAGCCAACAGCTCATTAGTTTAGCTCTAGTGCAACGTTAACAATCAAACCGACAAATATCGATTTAATAAGAGTCAAAAAGCACAATTTTCCAACAGGTAATGCCCCAAACAATCCCAGAGAGTAAATAGTTGTCCCAAAAAGTATCACGTACATCTGGTTCCTGATAACAAATCGAAACAATATAAAAGAATAAGTCCAATACTTGCACAAAGTGATAAGTTTCTCTTGTGATAAGTGCATAAAAATGATGTTAATATATGCAGGGGTCGATTCAGAAATTCAGAGGTAATAGTAGACTAAATATAAAGGCTCGAGTACATGCAGTTTTGAACCCAAATATGCATTTTACCCTTGAACAAAATGACATAACTTAAAAGAATTCAGATAAATTAAGAGAACTTGAGTTGATATTTATTTAAATTTTTTAACTCAGAGTTCAAGCAGACAAAACATGATTTTTAAAATTTAAGAGATCTCTAAAAAGTTGGGGGCTTTGGACCTGTTTGGTCTTATGATAAATGTACTAATATGTGTCAGATTTTGTTCAGTTTTTCTTATTGAAACTTATAAACTTGGACCTAGTATCAGACAAGTCAGAACATAAAACTTTATCGGTTAAAAAATACAAATCATACCTGATGTGTACTAACTATATAGTATTAAGTCTAAAATGAATAATGATAATAAAAATCCCAACTCACCCATTCGTGTGTTGCCGACACTCAGATTCCGGGCCTAAACTGGCTTGTTGAGTTAAACAATGTCCATAAGTGTTTTCATTTAATGTTGCACTATTGTGCATTTTAGATGTCAGTTTTTTCACTACATCGTCCATGGATCGTCTGTTAGGAGGCCTACCATTACCAAGATCACTGTGGTGGCTACTTCCTGGTGAAGGGACTGTTTCCATTGTCCTTGACTGACCAGGTGAAGCCAGTCTCTGTTCGGCGCTGCCGGACAGTCCACATTCGCTCCCACTGTAACAACCCGGATCGGAATCAGATTCCGAATCACCAGTGTGCCTTTCCTTGCCGGACACACTCTGTAAGAGTCTTTGTTTTCTGGATGTGTGTGGAAAGACAGAACTGGAATTAGTAGCCATGGCACTGTCCAGCCTGGCTTCAGGATCACTACTTGTACAGTCCGAGTCCTGATCCGCCAGTCTGGACGGATAGGGTGAGCAACTTTCGGAGGGTGGTGAGGAAGTCATATTGTCTAAAAAGTTTTCTTCCTCCTCTTCGTCTTCTTCTTCGTCGAAAGAGTATTGCAGTCGATTGTCGGACAACGACTCCTGTTTCTGAAGATTCAAAGGATTCTCTTCGACTTCTGGAATTGGTGGGGTATTGAAAAAATTGGGTGTATGATGAGCGTCCAAAAAGTCAGAGGCGACTCGATGGTGGTGAACTCCATTGCTAAGATCGTCAGGCGTGAATTTTGTCGGAGGACTTTTCCGTTTAGATGACATCCTCCTAAAGAAGAAAAGAATAGTTTCTTTTAATAACTAGAAAAAATACACAACTCTTGCGAAGGATGAAAAGATATACAGAACTTTTTTTAAAACAATTAGCTAGAGCTTTTTTTAAACATTGTAAATCGTAAATCTTTATCTGTCAAATTTAGAGATTCATCAATTATTTATTATCTACACTTGTCGGAAAAGTGGCTCAATTTTGAACCGTAATATCGGCACCTTGAACCATAATATGGTGTAAATTCCTTGCACTTTTACTCGATGTTAAAGTAAACCATATTTTTGTTGAAGATGAACCAAGTTTCAGAAGTACTATAATATGGTTTAAGTCAGCACCAATTTGGACAGTATTATCGTTCAAAACGTTCAACCATGCAGCTAAAAAAAATTGAAACTAAATTTAAAACCATACTTTTAAGTGACCTTTGCGCCCTTCCACCCATAATCATAATATAACAGTTCTTTGGTCATCAAATTTAGAAATGAATGAACAGGACAATCGAAATGTTAAATGTGGTATTACCAAGGGCAAAAATTATTGCCCCATCTTGCATCGAGTTAATCTATCACTCTCACTTGTATTTATAAACTAACGAATAGCGGATTCTTTCCACCTCTCATTATAATTGCAATAATTGAGAACATTTGAATGCTATAACAAGTGAACAATAGCACTTTATGAAAAGAAGAAACTTTTTTGAAGTACAATGACTTTCTACGTTCCACTTAACAATTAAGAAAAATCTTTTGTTCTCGCCTCAACGAAGCTAAACAGCTTTTCTAAAACAGAAATGGAAAAATGAGGGGACTATATATAGGAAATGATATTTCCACAACTTGTAAAATTAGATCGCACGTGGAATTTTGATTTATTTAACAGATCACTGTGTACTGTTAATTTGTACCTGTTAGATGCGTTGAATCATAATAGTGTTAAAAATTATCGAAACTTTTATATGATGTCAAGTTGAACCGTATTATCATGCAAATCAATTTTTCTTGAACTTGATTTACGCGACAATATAGTTCAACTTAAACAGTATCTTAGTATGTTTGCATGAGAATATAGTTCAAGGTACAAATTTTTTTTTTTTGCTGTTGACCGATTTCATAGAGAATGTATATTTTCTGTGAATAAACGTGGTTTTTTAAAATATCACTGAATATAAATTTTTACCAGCTTTGGTAAAAAAAATTTTTAACTGAAAATTTTAATACTGCATCAAACACTAGCAATCCCTTGATTATATCCACACAATGCACTATAAGAAAATTCGGTTTAACTTTAAACGAAGATGCTTCTTAAATCATATCAAAAGGGTAAATAGGTTTTTGAGGGATTAATTTACAGAATATCATGGTTCAATATGCTTGAACGTCTATAACAGGGAATTTCGGTTAATATTAGAATATTTCAGGTCAAAAAGGTTTTTTCTTTTTCAAATTAGAAGATAAAAGTGAAAAAAATTGTAGCCAAGTTCAAAAGTTTAAAGTAATTGAACACAATGATAAATATATTCTTAAAAAAACACACACGAATTCGTGTTTTTCTTGTCTACTTACTTATACCACTTAATTGCCCCTGCAAGTTTAATTTTTCTTTTTTCAAAATTGAAAATAAATAATGAATGAAATGCTAGGTCACTTAGAAATTTTGGAAAATTATTTATCATGAATATACTAAGAGGAAAAGCATTCTCGCAACATGCCGTTATTCGTCGGGGGACTTATGGAGGTAAAGATTCTGCAATTCTATGACCAACGGCAGGTGGCGATGGGGTCAGCAATGAGCACTAACTGCTTTTATTTCAAAAAATAAGCTGCTACTTATGGATGTGAAGCTAGACGGGCTTAAAGACGCTACCAGAGATTGAACCCCTGTCTTTCACAATGACAGTTCAGAGCCTTAATCACTGAGCTTTGAGCTTCAGTATAAATATATACACTATAAGAAGAAAAGCTGTGATTGTCATGCGTCAAAATGTGCAGGTAATAGAAAAAAATTCACGTTTTCAAATTCGGACAAGTTTGACACGCTGAAATTGTATAACAATAAACTTTGTAAAAATCCACATGGTTTAGTTGCAACGTTGTAGAACATGTGTTGATATTTTTCTTACTTGTTTCTTACCTAGGAATTATCAAAGCGTAGTTATATTTACTTTATACAACTATAAGATTTAGCACACATGTTATATATTATACTCTTGCTTGATATCGAAAGAAAATCAAGTGGAATCGAATTGTTTTCAGATCTAATTCTTCAAGATAAAGACTGAGCTTATCAATAATAAATAGATCTACTTAAACAGTTTAAGCAGAGCTGAAAATGTATTCTGAACTTAAACGCTTAATAATAATAATAATAATAAATGGCATGGCAATAATTTTAAATTGCAAAACAAATTGTTTTGAACGTTCACTTTTTATTCAAATTACACGTTTTCAGATAAAATTCTTCAAAACAGCATTCAAGTCTGAAATTGTTAATTTACTATTTAGGTGATCTTTTTGCCCTTTCATTTTCTCTGCAATGAGTTCACGTTCCCTTAATTTAGAATAGAAGGGGGGCAAAGGAAATAAAAATAATAAACACACTAATTATGGTCAAAGTTAACTTTGTTTCTTGCTCACGGCACGAGACACAAAGCGCATTCTTCCGTCAAAAAAGACGCCAAAAGTACAATACGAGGATCTACAACAACAATGGCTTTATTACTCAAGTGAATAAAGAATAAAACCACCTGTTGTTCCCTGGGAGGTCAAAGCAGTGGGAAAAACGCTCAAAAACCATGGAAAAATCGAGCTGTTAAAAAAAGGAAGAAAAAAGAATGTTAAGAGCAATTCGTTAGCATTGTGCTATGAGGGTTTAGAGCTGTTGTTCTTTCCAAAAGAGAATAGCTGGACAATTAAGTCTTTGACGATTAGAGTTATTGTCGATCCGACGCTTTTTTTTCCTCTCTTTTTTTGCGAAAACAAAATGTCAAAGCTATTGTATACAGTAGAAAACAGGTGGTTTAAAAAGTACTTCCCCTTCTGTGCGAAGTAAAGAATGGAACAAATTATTGGAACAGTAGACAATTACTCTTATTTATAAGCAAACATATTATTTAATTGTTCAAATCTAAGACTTAAGGCAATAAAATACTGGCTCATTTACAATTACATTTTGATTATACACATTTGCTGCTATATTTACAAAATCAACAAGTTCTTCTAGTATAAAAACTAGATATATAGATAACCTAGCTATAATGGGGTGATTCAGAAATAAGTAATGCTCGAAAGTTTCAACTTGGCTGGACAACAAGTACTATATTTTATATTCAAAAACGGAAAAAAAAAGTGTTTGAAATTAAATTAACTATAAATATGAAAGCAACTTTACTTATAAACTAAATAAAATTTAAAAATGAAAGCAATATTAGAAAGTAACTAGCTAAAATAAAACGATGAAAGCAATAACTCAAACTAAATGTAATCAATTAAATTTCAATTAAAAAAAAATTATTTTGTTTTTAAATTTGAGAGGTGGGTGATATAGGGATTTCTCTGATATAGAATATTTTTCTTTAAAAGGATGATCGAAAATAATTAAAAGTATGAGAGCAAAAACCTAATATTAAACTAAAACTAAACCAATTAATTAGAAAGACAAAAAAAAAAAAAAAAAAGTAATGAAGCGATATCTGTCACAGAAAAATGTGAATAAGTATGAGTTCGAAAAAAGAAAGATAGAATCAAGTGGGAGAGATACTTTTAATATCAATGAAAAAATCAGATGCTTTTTAACAAATGGCGGCGCCGACTTTTAGCCAAATTAGTGACATTAATCAAGAGGCACGTCTATTATTAGGTTTGCTAACTAGTTTTCACAAGGAACAAAGCCACGGAATTCTACTTAAAGCGATTTCGAAGACGACTAAAAATATTTCAACATGCTGATGACTTTTTTTCTCCAACTTTTATTTTATCGTTCATTTTTTCATTACCTCATAAGAGATCTTAATATTTTTAGTGGATAGAAATGTTTTTGTATGCGTGAAAATTCTTCTGGTGTCAGTTTTGAGTTGAGAAATTTTAACAACTTTCATTTTGTGGCGCATTGAATTCCGGACATGTTTAACGCTTTGTAGACTAAATTTATTAATATACAAACTTTAATTGATTTGCAATGATTAACCTTAATCTTTAAAAACCTTGCCTTTTTCTTACCAGTTAACGAATAAATTTAGCTTTGGTTAAAAAAAATTAGTTTTAGTAAAGTAAAGTAAAAAAAAAACTTTTGCTTAAGGGAGACACAATTATAACTTTTGATTTTTAATTTATAATAAAGTTTAGTCTCTTATTATTCTAAAACAGTTTTAATATTTTTAACAATATTTTTTTATCTATTTAACTTCTTTTGAGGTTTCTAACTTTCTTTCTTATATTTATTATTTTTATGTTACTTTATAGATTTATTTTTAATTCATATTTATTATATATTTTTTAAAGTTCTGAATGAATACATTAGAATATAAGTTGATGCTCTGGAAATTTCAAAAATTGGCACTCATTTTTACGTCAATCAACAAGAATTTTAACACGATTGTGCCCGAATATTTAGTTTAAGTTAGAGCAATTTCTGCCTTCACATTTTTTCAGCTTTTGTTGAAGAGAACAAAATTATTTTTCACATACTTCAGAGATTTCAAAATTTGAAAACGAAAAGATTAGCGAATTTCTTACAGAATAGAGATTGTGTATCTTACGCTTTAAAATAAAAGACTTCAGCCTTAGAATAAGTTCTGAAAAAAATTAAAATGTTTCAAAATAAAAGCAGAAGATATTAGTAATGTTTTTAACTCCTTTGTTTCCCTCCAGATAATGACATACACACGTTCATGAGCATGAATATGACATGAAGTCATAAAATAGAAACGAGAAGCGATATATCGAAGCCTTCGAGTCCACATATTGACACTCATAAGATCTTCTAAGCACGTAAGAAAAGAA